TATACCAACAAGTTAAACAATCATTTTTTCAAACGTAAATAAAAAAAAAATGTATAAACAAAAAGAAAGGCTATTTCCCAAGTTAGCCCCAGTTTGAGTTGGTTCACTGATTCGATCATTCGTCACTAAAGCAGCATCACACATTTTGCTATCATAATATTATCGCCCTTGAACTCCCGAGCGATAATAAATACTAATTTCCACATAAAGATCACATTTTTTTTTTCTTTTCACTAAGCTATATTGAACACTTTCTCAAACATGGCTCACCATTCACCAGTCATCAATCAGAAGAAGTCCCAAGGCTTTCAATGCTATATGAAACAACACATCTAATTGGCCAGAAATGGCGAAAAACAGATGCTAATTAATCCATTTTTTTTCTAAAGAAGGAAAGAAATGACAATATCTAAAACATAAATTTCTTTTAAAAAAAAAATACACTACCTGTCGTAATCCCGAGCAACAAGGTAAAGAAACTGCGCATAATTCGCCAGCAAAAGGGTATTCTCAGGCTCTTGATCCAATTCCGACTGGTAAAACATATTTGTTTTTAAATACTCTGAGGCCGTTTTTCCATTGTTAGACGAAGGAGACAACAACCTCAAAGTTTAACAACAGACGAATCAAATGTTTGCTTTGAAGGATTATTATTATCAGCATGATCGAGTTGGCACACTTGTACAGGTGGCGTGGTGGCTAAGGCTGACATAGAGTGAACACTATAGTTCGCGAGGAGTATCATTAAGTACATCATGAGAGTTGGGGTGTGTGAGAACACTTTCTCGAACAACCACACAAAAGTTGCGTGCATTTCTCGTCCGACATTTGTACGTAAATCCTCGTATAGAATCTCCCTCATCTGAAGAGTGTAGCTGTGAAGCTCGTGGATTATGAACACCATTGACGAGAAGGTTTTCTTCACTGAGCAACAAGCCGAGTCATTGGCCTCCATAACCTCGTTCTGCAATTGTTTTTTCCATTTTATCATTCTAAGGGATAAGGGAATCTCGAAGCTGTTTGCCCTCCGCTCGATGTTGGCCGGAATTATTGAGCTTGAGGCTAAAGCTTCGATCTTTTTGGAAAACTCTTCATCGGAAAATGAGTCCAGATTAGTTGACAGGGCCGGATGATAATTCGGGCCCCGGGAATTCCTGTTACGGAAAGACAGAGAAGAGTGGAGTTTTGCATCACCTGTAGCAAAACTATGTCGTTTTGAGGAAGGGAATGAGATTGCAGAAGGTAATGTCTGGGAAGAAGATGGAGAGTGATGGACTGAAGGCTGTGGCCAATGTAATGAACCAGCTGCCATTTTCAATCCCAATTTTTTTTTTTTTTTAATGGATAAAAAAGAATCAACAAATGTTTTGCAGAACGGAGGAGAAAATTGAATGAAAAGCTTTTTCTCTGTCCCCAAAAGTAAATTTCTGCAGAGATTAATCGCTTTTTCTTGCTCTCGACTCGGAATAACGTTCTAAAACCCTGAAACAAGCAAACAAAGAAAGGCCGACCAATTTTGAGTCAAAAACACATGATATATAAAAATACCCATTAAAATAAAAGAAATTCGACACAAACCTGAAACCCCACTGACCACAATCATTGGAACCCATCCATTGAAATCGGGTCAGCAACATACGCAGCCCAAGATGAACCTATACGACCCAACAACTCATGAACAAATTGCAAAGAGGCAACACAAAAGAGAAACCAAATCGACCAAGCACTCACCGGAAATTATAGCTCCGGCCGAGATCTCCGGCTGAGACTCCACCCATTTAACAGAAAGAAGCGGAGTACGAGCACGTCACTTCACTTGTCCAGAGCTTATCAAGAGATGTGAACAAGGTTCCTTAAATACAAGACGAACAAAACGAAATTGAGCGCCTTTGAGACTGATATAAGAGAAAAATCTACGTTGAATAATGACTTATCAGCTGTGGGCCGTGGGCCCCTGATTCTGATATAAACGAAATTGAGCGCCTTTTTGTTTTTTCTTCATCGTGACCCGTGGGCCCCTGTTTCTGATAATCACTGCCTTCTTTATCAGCTATGGTTCTTGAATTAACTTTGGTGATGACAGTTACAATGTTCAATTTGAAAGAAAAGAGAAAAAGATAATCTTTTTTCTTCTATTTTCTTCACGCGGATAATCAATTGGTACTGCCATATCAAGGGCAGAAAGGTGAGGCTTACGCGGCGTAGTTGACGGGCCTTTTTCGAAAGCCGAGGTAGCCTGCGAGCAGTGGCAATAATGCGCCAAATGCGAATGCTCATTGCTCACTGATAAATATTTTCTTTTTTATTATAAAGGAATAAGCTAAACATAATCTAATGTCCAAATTAAAAATGAAAATAATAAAGCGGCCCATAAATGAGACCCATGAAGTTTCCTAAACATAAGGGGCCCAATATTGGAGGTATACTGCAGTGAAACTCCAATAAAGCACGAACACAGAATATACAGTGACATATAATTAACCTCCAAGGCTCCAATCCTGTTTTT